TGAGAATGTACCAAGTCCACTGTCTGATGCTGGGAATCATGACAACTACTATGACAGACGACTTCGGACTCCGTGCGTTCTACATAGTCTCGCTGAACACAAGACTAAGTTGCGACAACGAGGTCAACCCACTCCTTACTTATAAGGTTTGGGACGAAGGCAAGACGTGAGGGTGACTAAGATCAGGGCCATTTACGTGAATCAGTGAGCTTTCTGGAGCTGCTAAATAAGACCTAAATGCAGATTATACCGATCTACAGCTTAGTTCCGTCCACTGAGCTACAGGCTTACGTGCTTACAGGTCCATCAAACCAATTGAATTTTTTCAAGGGCTTATTTGGTCATCTTTGATGAGATCCTTGCAAAGTGGTCTGCTACTTGGGCATGCAGGCCTTAACATTTGATATACATTTCATTAATGCCTCTTGCTGTCGGGGCTCGCATAAATCTGCTCAAATTTCCCCTCACTGAGCGGGCCTAAACCCTTCGAGGGTGTGATGCTCAGCCATGTCAGGCAGTAAAGCCTTTGCCCAAAGAGCATACAGGTCAGGTTTAGACCCGCACATGATAAAGCTTCTAGCCGGTCTCCAGGCGGTCGCTGAAAAAGCATCTCGGCTCAGCTCTTCCAGCCGTATGACAACATTATTGCGATGCTGAGATGTGATTGCCTTTAGAGGGACCATGCGGCCCTTTCCGCCCATCTGATGCATATACAAATCATACCAAAGCAATTGCCCTCTACTTTTGTCGAGGCCTGGGAGTCGACTGGAAATCTTCCTGACATGTGGGCCTTCATCAGACGGTTTTGCCCAATCGAGGCAAACAAGAAGTATTTAAATATCGACATATAATTTGATGATAAAGCATTAAAAGTTGAGGTTTACATCTTTTTGGTTTAGATGAGATCACTCAGGTTAGCGATAAAAATGTTGATGTTATTAATATTTTGGGTTCTATCTCTCGTTTATTGCCACCGTGATCATCATAAACTTTGTTTGACTGCCGTCTTTGATGATGACCCTCACAGTTAGGATAGTTAGACTGTTGAGTTGTTCTTAGCTATACTGCTCAACCAACAAATAGTTCACAGAACTTTTGTGGTATTAGTATTGAAAAAAGTAAGCTTTTAAAATTATCCGTAAATCTTGAAAGAGTGCCTTGTCACTCTAGTTCACACAAGGTGATGAATGTATGATACTTGAATTTTCTAAAATCGTATGAGTAAGCCTCAGGTTTCCGTTAAATTGCTGAATAAGAACTGGCTACGCGATAGCAGAGGGATAAAAGATTCTCGAAAGTGATTTCAAATAAATTGTTATGCCCTATCATATCCACTCTACAGCGTGCAGTAATGATCATTTCGTGTTATGGTCGGTAAAATCGAAATGGTCGCCTAAATAACAAAGAAAGGGTATCTTAGTATCGGTCGTGATAACTGGTGACTGAAGACGTTTCAAAATAG